TCACTAAGGTCAAGCATCTCCCGCCCAACGCAAGTCTTTCACTAATTCCCGGCGATTCCGTTCTCGCGTCCACTAAGGTCAAGGACTCCCTTTCCCCTGTCGCACTGATCCCGGGCAAGTTCCGTTCCCGCTCCACAAGGCTCAGGCAATTCCGCACACTAAGGTCAGGCGTCTGGAGTCCGTCGCGCGCGGGTCAGGCGCGGCCGGCTCACACCTGGGTGTCCAAGGGTCACACTTCGCTCTCCTTCGGGTTGGTCATGAGCGGCGTCTCGGCCGTGGCCTGCTCGTCCTCCTCGGGCACCACCGCGGGCGCCAGCGGGTGGCCGCCGAAGCCGTGCGGGGGCGGCGCGGGCGTGGTGTAGGCGGCGATGCTCACGTCTCCGATGGGTATGCCTCCGGGCACCATGCCGGGGTTGCCCATCATGATGGGCGGCACGCCGCTGCCCATCATGCCTCCGCCCATCATGCCGCTGCTGCAGATGGGGGCGCCCGAGAGGCTGGTGCTCGGACACATGCTGGTGACGCCCATCATGCCGCTGGTCACGGGCACGACGCCCATGGACACGGGCGGCACGGTGCTGGAGAGGCCGTGGTCGATCTGGGCGTAGATGGTGGGCTCGGGCTTCCGGCGGGGAAGGGTCCCGGGGGGGTACTGCCCCCCGCGGGGGAAGGAGAGCTCGGCGTACATCAGCTCCCCGTTCTGTGGGGGGACGGAGCGTGAATAGCGGTGGGCGCGGGTGGTAACACACGCACACGCACACGTACACACACACACACACGCACTCACTCAATCACTCACTTACTCACTCACACACACACACAAACACACACACACACACACTCACTCACTCACTCACTCACACACACACACACACACACACACACACACACACACACACACACACACACACACACACACACGCACGCACGCACGCACACACACACACTTTAAAATGCATTGGATCCCATGCTAATAACTAAAATAAAAATCATATATATATTTTTTTCATTTGATAACATGCGAGCACATCCTTTCATCAAACAAGACCTGACTCCCTTTGTATAGCAAGCCTTCCTCAAGCTTTAAAAATAACGAAAATAAAAATGAAAAAAAGTAAACAAAAAAATCCCATTTCATTAGTTTCCCTGCACTCGCCCCTCTGTGTATATATTTTTTATTTCTCTAACAAGAAATATGATTCTCTGCCTTTATTACTCATCCCTTAACACAATTGAAAAATAACAAACTCACATCAGTTAACAAGGTATCGTCTTTTCCCTAAGTAAGGAAGGACTGTACGTACCTGGGAAGTCGTAGCTGCTACTGTCCGTGGCGTCCTTGGGTAAGTACCGTACACGTTACTAGGGTAGGGCACCGAGGCGCAGATATGCACGCTTCCAAAGCCTCCTTCTTCGGGAGTCGTGGGACTTTTGTTCTCCGTCTCGCTGTTGCCTGAAGGGAGAGAGGAAAGATGGGTGTTTGCTCTGTAGGTCGGGGTAAAGAACGGCTGTTGTGTGTTGTATGCTGTTGAATAGTTTGGTATCATGTTTTAGGTCAGTTTGATAATCTTTCTCTCTTTTTCGTTCCTTCTGATTTTCTGTTTTTTCGTGCTCCCCCCCCTCTCTCTCTCTCTCTCTTTCTCTCTCTCTCTCTCTCTCTCTCTCTCTCTCTCTCTCTCTCTCTCTCTCTCTCTCTCTCTCTCTCTCTCTCCCTCTCTCTCTTTCTCTCTTTCTCTCTCTCACTCACTCACTCAATCACTCAATCACTCACTCACTCACTCACTCATTCATTCACTCATTCACTCACTCACTCACTCATTCACTAACTCACTTTCTCTTTCCCTCTCTCTCTCTCTGTGCCCTTTTTCGCCCTCCATCTCCCTCTTCCATTTTCCTTCTCTAATGCAACTTTATCTGACGGGAAAACTATCAGTGCGTGCAGGAATACATATCTAGAGAAGCCCACTCACACAGCCGCCTCACCACCCTTACCGTTCGCAGGTATCAAGTCCGGGTTCTTGTCGTCGAGGTCGCGTGAGTCGGCCAGCGACGTCTGGATGGGCAGAGCCACCGTCTTGTTCCTGGGGCGCCGACGCTTCCTCTTGAGGCTCACCACGACCACCGAGGTAATGGCCACGAGCACCAGGGAGCCGAGGACCCCCACGACCACCGCGATGATTGGCGTGAACGACATGAGCTCTTCGGGAGGAGGTCGTACCTGGGCGGTGCGCCTCTCAGCCACGTCCCTGAGCGTGTAGCCTTGCATGCGACGCTTGTTACTGATCCCCTTCTCGTTGGCGGCGTAGATGTAGAGCAGGTAGGACGCCCCCGGTTCGAGCCCCGTCAGCGTGAAGTCGGGGGTCGATTTTTCCGTGATGTTGAGGAGCAGCCTGTCCGTCTCGGTTTCGAAGGCTTCGATAATGAACCTTTGCTGCAGCCCCCCGTCGTAGCCCGGGAAGCAGCGTATCCGAAGCGCCTCCGTCGTCTGGTTGAAGAGGCT